GTCTTTGACACTAAACTCAAAGATGGACTCAGCATTCTTTACTCGGTCCTCTACCTCCTAAAATAAAACACATGTCCGTCATGTATGCTTGTATCACTTGGCATCCCTCGAGGTTCCTGACACGTATTTCGGGGAGTTTGGAAGCCAATAGTAAGACCTAACAAAAGCTGATCTTTGTACAGCCCCGCCCCTCTGTCCCTCGCCAATTCCTCTCACCTCTTCCGTTTGGCCAGTGACTGCTCCTGACTTCTCGAAAGCTTTTAACCACGTCAACTGCTCTTCGTCAGAAGTGAAGGCTAGCCGCAAATCTTGTTTACAAAGAAGATAATTCTTCATTAATTACCCATGGAAACAGCCTCTTCAAGTGCCACATATGAAAAGCGTTCCTTTACTAAATAGATTGCAACTACCTTCTGAGAATTTTTTAGCGTCGTTTTCATGTTATTGGGTTGATGCTCTGCGCGAAAATTTCTTTGATTAACTTAAATAAAAAATAAACTACGGTGGCTGTGTCAACAAACCCGTGTACCTCCTTGTGCACTGACTCTGCCTACAGTTATTTTGTTCTCTTTACAACGTATGACAGTACACACACACACACACACACACACACACACACACACACAAAGGCTGATATGTAGGAAAACCAGTGACTAACCTGACCTTTGGATGTCAGCAAACGTTAGCAAAAGACAAAACTTTACTGACCGGTCTAACTTCATAGTAGCCTCTTTCAATGGATATTTCTTGGTGGGTGTGGAATGCTAAAGAGAGAGAAAAAAGTAACCTCCAGCCATGAGAATTAATGTTGCTTTTTTTGTTATACTTAACTTTACTGGTGTATAAATTTATATCTGAGTCACTTGCTCTTTCTGCCTTTGAGGATTTTAATCGAAAACTTAAACTTTAAAGTTTTGAACAATTGCGAAATTTTAAGTTCCTCCTACCAAATCAGTTCTGAACTCATAGAGTGTTTCATCGCCAGGTCTCAGAGCAAAAAATGCCTGATGCCATTTCAGAAGACCCCTTTTTTGTGCTGAACCAAACTTAGTGCTACAGTCTTGTTTGAGTGAGGCCACAGATGGGCCAGCTGGTGACAGATGGGGAGGATCTGAAAAGGAACAAAAAAAACAACTGAAATCTGTTCAGCAAGCAGTACTACTTAATAGTGAAACTTAAAGAGGGGATGGGTACATGTGAACTCAGTCCATCTCCACTGCAACCATGTGGTTCAAATAAGCAAGAAGAAGAAGTCACTTGGTCAAGTTCACCAGCAAATTTGCCAACCCATGTTGGCCGTTATGTAGCAGTCTGTAGCCTATTTCCTACTTTATTTTCATAGTCAAAAGTAAAAGCTAGATAAACTTTTACAACATGTTCATGCTCTGCCATTTTCTTGTACAAAAACAGAGCACAGAGAACACTTAAATTGCAATTTTTTTTTTTTTTTATGGCCACTGCACCTTATTTCTGGCAACCAAAATCTGATTTCAGGGCACCAAATAAGAATGATTAAAACCCAACCTTATGAGGTACTGGTCTAAGTATTTCTAGCTGTCATACAAGCTGAAATATTTCAAAGTCTTATCAAGCCCAACATTCACTATAAATTAGAGACGTGAGTAGTCCAGTGGTCATTATGCTGGATTCTGGGTCAGACGACCCGCGTTCCAGTCCTGGCTGGGGCTTGATGTTGTGTCCTTCAGCAAGACGCTTCACTTACATTGCTTCATCTTCTCGGATAAAACGTAAACCCAGAGGTCCCATCTCTTGCATCTATCAATTAGTTAATTTGGTTAGGCAGGGAACATTAAAGAATGCACATCATGAGATTACTGTGAGGTGGTCTGGCCTGTTTATTGGGAGTTGTGGCGAGGGGGCATCTGTTAAATTTCTCCTTTGTTGATTGTAAACTGTCACTGGCAGTCTGGAAAAGTCCCCCGCACAGTGTTGTAAAGTGCATTAGATCATTGCACGATAAATGCATTATAGAAATTGATAAAATTATTATTATTATTAAATTATTCTGAGGACACTCTCTCTAACAGGACTGCAAGTTTCCTCACAACGATACATGGGTATTTTAATTCTTGATTCATTTGGTTACCAGTTAAAGGTTAAGTCCCCTTCGATGGGAGTCTGGACGAAAGGTTCTAATTCAAATGCTTCTGATTCACAGATTACAAACATCATTAAAATACAGCATTATCTCCTGTTCAATACCATCTTGCCGGAATCTGTAGAACAGCTCTCTGTCTTCAAAGTTGTGTTCATCCACCACATGATGAACTAAGTCAGCATCCAGTAATTGCTAGAATTAAATAATAGATGCAAATGAAATTTTAAAAAAAGTATCTGCATAGTTAAAAAAGGGTTTTTGTTACAAGTATGGTAGCTTAATTATGTGAAATACCTGTATCTAAAAAACAATTAACACTAAATGTAATTCAAATTAGACAACAAACAGACCTCCTTACTGACAAAGTCTGTTGTGCAAGTAAAAACAACAACAACAAATTGATGCTAGCAATCCACAATCAGCTCAGGGAGTGAGGCACACAAGAAATAGGCTCACTCTCAGAGGTCTGTGTAGCACAAAAGCATTAATTTTTTTTCCCTGATTTATTTTCTTTAACTTGCGTGACAGACTTCACCGTAAAGGAGGGACTGTTTGTTATCCACATTCAAATACAAACATCAAATTAATTCAAAATGAAATTTGGGTAATGTCACCCTGAAGAGTTATTAACCTCCCCTCTCTCCTGTTTGTTTGCCCCAGGCTTTCTTCAATCTTACATGCCCCAAAAAGTGGCTTCGACACCTGCCCAGAATATTGGGCATTCCCTTTAGGCCAGAAAATACACTTATCACTTTGGTTACCTACTCACAGGGCAATGCAGTATTCCTAAGGCTTGTAAGTGTCTAAACTATTACCCTTTACACCCCAACATCCAGGGGTTTCATTAATGTTTTCAGCAGGAGGGCACCCGGTTTTCACAGGAGGGAAAAACTTTTTGAACTGACCTTCATTCTGGTGAGCAAATGCATCCTCACAGCGAGTCAATTTTCCTGGTGCCCAGCCCTTAATGAAACCCCTGAACTTCAGTATCCATATTTTCAATACTGTTCTCTATACATTTCTTTGGTATTGACCAGTAGAATTTGTGAAACAATCAAAGCCTCTTAGGTTGGCAGCAGGTCATTTCCTTTATTTGCAAGATCTTAAAGAATGATTCAGCTGTGATGCTGTGGGGAGGAGCTAGAAGCCGGTTACACCAAGGTTTTAAAGGGTTAAGTTAGGTCTAAACGCACTCACCTGGCCCAACTGAATGCCTTCTTGTCTTGTGGTTGCAAATCCATTTGCAATGAACCAATCAATGGCTTCACTTCCTTATGACAAAAATTACAAGGTAGTAATTATATTATAGCCTGCCTGCTAGTGGTAGTTTGTGTTTTCATACATGATATGACTTAATTTTATTCTTAGGTAGGTAATATTCTTTGTAAATAATTTTTATCCATTTTATTTGTGTCCTCACATTAGTATGGGATATCTCCCAAACTAGAAGGTTCTTTGACACATTAATAAAGTTTCTATCTATTTCAATTAGAATCCCTGTTTGTTAGGTTGAAATCTTACAGATTAGCTTAGCATACTTACTCCATTTTATGTGACACGTGATTGGTTAAAAAAATATTCTCAGTGATACATGATTTCATAGAAAAATTCAGCGTGATGTGTGATTGGAACCCCCCCTTTACCAAAATTCTGCGTGATGTGTGATTGGAATCCCCCCTCCCCCCATTGCCAATCTCTAATGTGTATTGATTCAAAGTTCTTAGCCATTCAGATTTTTCATGGTAAGTCTAATGTGTAACAATGATAATTATTGGTACTCACCCACAAAGCAAGAGTGATATTTTTTTAGATGATAATATCTGTCCTTAATTGTAAGTCCCCCATCAGCTGTTGATGCTCTCAGCTTGAGAGAAATGGTTTCTATCTTGGAAGGCCAAAGAAGAAAACTTGAACTAAGATGTCTTAATAAACTTCTTGTTGCAGAAAACTAAGGTTAGGATCTAGTGAGAGCCAAATTACGATTTCCTCATTAAAGAATTTTCCAGAAATGGCGCCCTTGTTAACACGAAGAAGACAGCTGAATTTCAAAAACATACTTATTTGCTCACCTAATTGTCGACCGGGCCTTTTGTCAATTTCGGCTTAATCTTTTAATTCGATGATTTACGTGATTTCATGCCTTTGTTTTTAATTACGTCTCTGAACTGGAAAATTCAATTTGTGTTCCTTTCAAGGTAGACCCCAACAATGCTTGTTCAGTCTTGAAGTACGATAATGCAAGGCCGCCGGACAACATAACGTGGGACAACACAATAATATAAGCTTGGAAAAACTTGTGAGTGAAATGTAAATAAAGGGTTCTGTCCCTATTCTTTTTCCACTTGATCGAAAATTCCGCTTGTTGTCATCAGATTATCCAGTTAGAAAGTTCTCCATTGTTTGGTCACTCCTTCCATCCAAAAGCAGTCTTTTTAAGTTTCATCAAAGAAAGTGAATTTCTTTTATTTCCACAACAATCAGCTACAATTAACGCCCAGCAATAGCCCAAATTTGAACAAATCTCACGAACATAAAGTGGTTTCTGATTTACCCACAGTAAGCTAATTTCTAATTATCTTAAATGATTGTAATTCAATACTTACCTTATCACGATCGATTTCACACATGACTGTAAATGCAGCCTTCGCGGACCAACACTAATCAAGCCCGATCCAAGACGAGTGGTATGGTTGGGGGCCCGCGCACGGTCGGAAGAATCACGTGATACTTTTTTTTCTGTAATGCCTTTAGTCACGCCATCAGACTGAACAAGGATGTTGTCGTTGTCAAGTAAGGTGTCACAGTAACACCCTTCCTTTCTCATTCCGAACGGAAACGACCAAAAAAAAAAAAAAATGTTGAATGAATGTAGCTAAAGTACTATCGTTTGAAATAATACTTTAATAATCAGAGAAACTTTAATCGAGTAGATGATGTGGGCTGTGACTTCACTCTAAGCAAAAAAATGGATAACTAGTACTTTTTTGTGTTCGTTTGAGTAAGACTCGTACTCGAGTCTATTTGGGACATTATCATTGTAATGGGGGTCTTAAACGATAAGCTAACGTACAGGTTCCAGACACAACATCTCTGGGTAACTGGACAATTTTCATCATTCAATTATTTCTTTAATTTATTCAAAGCCGGCGGTAAAGCGACCACTCGCTTTTGTCACAGTTGTAGCAACTTCTTCCCTTGCTGTGGCAACAGCGTGCGCCCAGTGAGTAAAGCACTTGGGTCCATTCTCAGTCACTTCTTTCCTTCCCATAGCTGTCACGACATCTCCTTCATCTGTCACAACTATCAACTTAGGAATTGCCGTGACATGGTAGCGATTCTTGAGCTCTTGGATCATTTCGCTTCCAAATGGAACAGCTAACCAGTCGCCATGACACTTTTTCAGGTATTTATCCATATCTGACGCCGTTTTATCGGACGAAACAAAGACAATCTCGAAGGGCAGGTCGTTCTCTCTGAGCTCGTTGTAAAATTCAGCTAGAACTGGTGTAAACTGATTGCAAGGCGGACACCATCGCGCCGAGAAATACAACGCAACCACTTTATTCTGGAGGGCTTCTTCAGCCTGAATATTTACTCCGGACCTTCTCACAAGTTGTCGATCCCCAAAAAGGTTCATTTGCGTTGAAATTTGTTCGGGTCGCTCTTTGGTCTGAAGCAAGTGGCAGAAGCGTGACATCTGAGACTTCGGTACAAAGCGTTAGCGGATTACCAGCTATGACATCACGCTCTGTATCGTATTATGCAAGAAAAGATGGCCGCTCGAACGGCTATAGGGGCGGCTGTAAGAGCAGTCAACAAGCCGAGGAAATTTGCTGCTAGAAGAGCTGCAATTACACTAGTAAGTGTAGTGGTTAGTGGGATAGTGTCGTAAGATTGAATAGTTGTCAAACGGGGCAACCATAAGTTTACGCGACATCAATTTGCTACAACTAAATTGCAAATTTACGAGGTGAAAGACTGCGTCATTACAGCTCCATACTATTTTCTCAGTGCATTAACTCGTTCCGAATTGAACTATTAACTAATGTATTTGCAATTTCGTGTGAACAATCAAATAATTTTGGTTTATTCCTCTCATACATGCTGCAACACGATCTTATGTAATCAAAACATATCGAAAAAGTGGATATTGAGTTGAAATAGTTCTGACTTTATTTTATGATGAACTGAATCCTAGGTGCATTTTGATATTGGCTCTTATGATGTACTTGTTAACAGACGCATAGATGACGTCACCATTAACAATATTTTTCCTCGAAGTTTTCATCATATAAAACAAATAGATGCCATGTTGCCTTGGGTCTGTTTTACAAATAGATGCCATGTCGCCGTGCATTTGTTCAATACTAAATCACAGATAACATCAAAATGTGGGAAGAAAAAAGGGTAAAATGATGTTCATGGGGACCTCAACTTTACGTCTCCCCTCCCATAGATAATAGCTAAGAATCAATCTTTATGCGTGCCATTTAATCACAGAAGTCTATTTGTAAGTAGACAATAATTATTTCTAAACAAAATAATATAACTTTTATAGTCTTATTTATTTCAGAACAAAGGCCAGGAAAATTATCATTACTCATGCATCATTTGTGTTTCAGACTCCTGCTGCAGTACAAAAACTCAAGTCATTGCTCAAACCAGAAACAGAAAATGTAAGACTTGCCTATGGTTTAGTATGCTGCTTGCATCAATGTGTCATGCAACATGTGGCGCACTGAAATCATTTTATTTTATGTCAATATTGCGGTTAAAAAAAAACAACAACAACAGTGGTTTAGCTTCATCTGTACTCTTATTGATAACATTTATGGTGGACTCACTCAGCTGCGCCTTGAAAGTCCACGACATTTTGATCACTGTGATGACAAATATCTTTGTTGATGTGAGTACAGACCATGCTAACCTACTGTCAATTTGTACATGCTAATCCAAATGTATGGAACTTTTTCTTTTTCAGAATGCTTTAAGAATAGGTGTCAAACAAAAAGGCTGTAATGGCCTCTCTTATACATTAGATTATGCTAATGAAAAGGGAAAGTTTGATGAGGAAGTCAATCAGGATGGTAAGTTTGACAGAAGAAACTTGAATCTTGGAAAAACTCAGGAAACCATGAACATCAGAAAAGCTTCTTGCATGCTATTCGTGGGAAGAAGAACAAACTAGTGAGGCAAAAGAAAGCTGAATTGCATGCATTTAAGTTGGTGGTATTGTTGTTTCCTATCGCGTCCTGATCCCCAATGTGACTTGTTACATAACAGTAACCACTCCAGACATTTTTCAGGTTTCCTAGTTTTCTGAGTTTTCAAGTCACCCACCGTTAATCCTCTAACTGCTTTGTACCATTATCCCTGGAGTCAAAAAAAATGATTTATTACACGACTTGGGCAGTCAGAGGGCCAATAACTAAAATCAACCAATCAAAATGCTCTATTGCAGGTCAATATTCTCTTAGTATTGGACCGGGCACTGTCCCGAATGATACCGCACTTGTGTCCCTTTGAACTTCAGTCGTATAATAAATCTCTTATTAACCAAGCGCAAGGGCTGTACTGGGAGAATATCGGCCCAGGGTCTTGACAGTACGGACCGAGCGTAGCAAGGTCCCTACAAAAAAGACCGAGGGCCGATATTCTTCCAGTACGCTCCTGAGCAAGCTTGGTTAATAAGAGATTTATTATACGACTGAAGTTCAAAGGGACACAAGTGCAGTATCATTTGGGACCATTCAGGGCAGTGCCCGGTCCAATACATAGAGAATATTGGACCGGCAATAGAGCAGTTTGATTGGTTGATTTTAAGTTATTGGCCCTCTGACTTCCCGAGTCGTGTAATAAAGTGATAGTATGACTCTGGTTCCATCCTCGTTGTTTTTGTGATTGGGTATAACCAACTGCACTGATTTCTAAACTTACCCATGTATACTTGTGGTAGGAAATCCTTCCTGTGACAACAAGCTTGCAAGGAAGTCTGCCCTACGTTTCGATTCCACAAACACAAGGGTCCTATCAGTGCCTGACAATAGGAAATAAATTTTGGTCATTAGAATAATAGCAACTTTCACAGCACTGCAAGCTGTGACCATTCTGTGGCCATGACAAGGCAAATTTATATTTAGGTGACCTGCATTTGGTAGTCATGTTGCAAGCTGTCGCATGTTTCTCACTTAGTTTAGTGTTTATCATCTAGAGTGGAGTGAGAGAGATGTTTGTGCACAGCACTATCAAGACTCCCTCATTTCAATTTATATAATATATTTTTATATAATACACAAAATTATGTATTTATGAATATTTATACAGGGTAGCCCAGTTCAGCAAATTGCTAGTTTAAATGGGGCCTTGTGAAACAATAACACCCACCCAACCAACCCCAGGAGAGGACATCCATCACACAGTAATCTCATGCGCGAGAAATTAACGTCTCCTACCCCTAACCCTGCAGGAGACGAGGCCTACAGTTTATTCATCTTTATCCGAGAAGACTAGAATATCTATCCATTTCTTGATATTATAGGGAGGTAGCAAATTCTCCTCAGTTATTTTAAGACCATGAGTACTGGTCCAGCCAGGGCTCAAACCCTCAACCTCCCAGACAACACAATCCGGTGCTCTAATCAATTGAGCTAACTGCGGGGCGGTAATTATTCATCTCAAAGACAAGCCATGTGGTAAACAGTAAAAGTGCACCATACAATATTTTCCAAAGTGTTCATTCAGTCTAAATGGAAATTTTTATGTTCCTTCTCTACAATGTAACTCTCAGAACTCTTGACTACTGTGAAAAAATGCCAATAAAGTAGGAAAAAAAAACATTCGTACTTTGGATTTCACATATTTACCTGAGCAGCTGAGTAATTCAGTTAACTTTTCTTGCTTCTGATCTTCTGGCACATCCAGGATTGTCTGCTGAATATCTGATGTGGTACCACCAACCCTTCCTACCGTCAAGAACAAGTAATCATTGAGGAAGTCACCAGCCAGACGTTGAATTTCCTCAGGAAAAGTTGCACTGAACATGAGAGTCTGTCTTTCTGTCTTTTCGGGCATTCCCAGGGTCTCAACGATTTTCCTGATGTCTCCTTCAAATCCCATGTCAAGCATTCTATCAGCTTCATCCAAAATCAGATACTGAATCTTCTCTAGAGAAACCTGGTGTGCAAACAGAACAATGAAATTAATGAAAGGCCCGATGAGAAATATTCGATGCGGTTCCTGTCATATACCATTAAAATACCAGATACTCAGTGCAAAGAGCTTAATAAGTAACACCACACTCCATGCTGGAATCTGCCCGATTTAGTGCAACTACTTACATGTCTTTTTGTACTGTGTACTGTTTTTCAATCTGGACCAGGTGAAAAGGCACGATAGTCTTAAGCTCTTGAACTATATTTTTTATTGCATAGTTTTGGTGTACAAATCATCCCCTTTAAATTAGAGAAATTAAAAAACAATTCTTCATCAAAGGGGAAAAGATATAGTTAACCCATTGACATGTGTAACACGTGCCTATGAAAAGTCAAAATTTTGGAGAAACCAAGAAGGCAAACACAATGCGCAGTAAATTTTTAAAAATCATCGTTTCCATAAACCAAACTCCAGTGAAAGAAGACTAATTAAAGAACTCATTTCCCGTGAAAAAAGTGATAGGTGCATGTTACGTTTTAAATAACTCAAAAATCAAGATGAAAGATAAAAATCGCTAAATATTTCCGAATGTGTGAGAATGGGCATGTGAATCATATTTCAAAAGGGAATATACATATTTCTCTGCGAGTCAAGAGATCTCAAGTTCCATGGAATCTATCAATAGGAAGCAAGACTAAAATGGCCTAGAAATATTTCAGGACGTCAGATTTTTTCAAAACAGTTTTTGATTTGCTGTTAGAAGTTAAAAAGGTACGAGTTTCTTAAGTGTACAGGGTACAAAGCCCACGTGGTAAAATTCATCATGCTTAGATCGTTGTTTACTTGCCCGCATGGGCAGAAATTGCGCAGCGTTATGTTGGAAATTCTGAAAAAAACTTCATTTGATGCAAAATCTTCTATTAAACAATACTTTTCAAACACATTGTTACTTGAACATAATATTGGGCTATCGAATCATCAAATTGTCACTAGGCCCTGCTTGAAGTACAAAAGTTCGCTTTTCACTTTGCGTCTATAATTCACATCGCCTTAGAGAATCCGTGTCTTTGACTCAAGAGCTCATTCTGTCACCTTTAAGACCTTAATATCCATTCTTTTCCAAGCAGAGTATTTTATAGCATTGTTACTTTACATTCTGAGTTCTACGCGGTCTAACTCAATTGCAAATGAACGAAAAATCCGACCTGAAAATTTTGAGGGTTGGCCGTGTGGATGCCATATTTTCCAATTTTGATCATTTAGTGAAGACGCATAGAATAATGCCCCTCTAGTACCACCTAAAGCCGACAAAATATATGCACAAATGACGGATTCTGATTGGTTTATTGATCTCCAAACTATAGAGGAAGTTTGGGGACAAAACTCTACTTAGTAGGGGAGGTAGGGCGTGAAGCGTTCACACGCAAGGCAATCATGAGGTTTGGGCAGTTTAAGTGTCAATGTGTTAAACAAGCATGGTGACCTATCTTTTTTATTGTATTATTCAAAACAGACATAGGCAGAGAACAGTTAAGGAAAGTTTAAAAATATTTGTTCAATAACTTGTTTTTCTGAGGAACCACCTTATGTAAAATCTAATACATTTTTTTCTGAACAGTCAGGTTTGTTACATCTCCAACCCACCTGTCCTCCTTCAACGAAATGCTTGAGCCGTCCAGGTGTAGCAACAAGAAAGTTACAACCACGTTGAACCTGACGCAACTGATGTGAAACAGACACCCCTCCGTAAATACACACTGGCTTCAGCATAGTTCCTTTTGAAAACTTTCGAGCTTCGTTATAAATCTGACTAGCCAATTCTCTTGTTGGAGATATACAAAGACCTTGCGGAGTTTGAATACCTGACAGCTCACTGCTGGTCAAACCGCTGTTCAGTATACCAGACATAGCAGGTAAGAGAAATGCTGCCTGGAAAATAAAAGAATGCTAGTATAACAACTTAAATGCATAAAAGTACAGAAGGACAACAGCATTGCCATATTTTGACTACTGTTCTCTCAACGCACAACACTTCTGAGGAAAGGGAGAGAAATCATAAGATAACAACTGGTAACATAGGAAACATATACAAAGGATGAATAATTCAAATGTGAATGAGGAAAAACAACAATGTTGACGACATAAGTTTTTCAAAATGCGCCAACCATTTTTAGCACCTAAGTTCCCAAAGTAATCCTTCATCATCACCCAATTTTGATGACGATAAAGATTTCTGGACTTAAAATAAGGCATTTTTGGAGTAAGGAAGGTCCCATTATGTGCTTTCCATGTATATAAGCATTCTCTTTACCCCCTGACCCCAGCCTCTTTATTCCTCACTCCTGAATCACACATGACTTAGGTCAAAAGAATAAAGGAAATGATCAACTAAAGAAGCTCTTAATTTTCAAGCAAATTCCTCTCTAGCACCTTAGGAAATGAATCGAGAACAGTGTGGATGATAAACGTAGAAGGGTTAATGTTTACCGTCTTTCCAGATCCTGTTTGAGCACAAGCCATCACATCTCTTCCTGCAATGATTGTAGGTATCGCATACTTTTGCACCGGGGTTGGCTTCGTGTATTTTGCTTTTTGCACATTTTCTAACAATAAGTTCCTCAGGTTAGCCTCCTGAAATGTTTGAATTGGTATAATGGCCTCTTTCCCTTTTCCTGTCACCTCAACTGGGATCTCATCATATTTGTCAAAGTTGATGCCTCTCTCAATGGTACGGTAAATCTCCTCATCATCTTCAGACGGCTCTGGGGGAACATAAGTCACTGGACCAGGTCTGTCTGAAAAAAAAAAAAAAAAAAAATAGAATAATCATTTAAGAACATGTGGAAAAAAAATTAACAACTAGTTGTTGTTTCTTGAAAGAGAGAAAATCACTTTTTGATAAAACAGTTTTGCCTAAGTCCCCTTTGGAAAAAGATCGCAAAGCAACAAGAAAACAAAACCCTTCAAATGCCACATCCATCCAGTCAAATAAAAGCCACACATGCAGCAAAACTGATCTTTAAGTATACATGTATGATCAATAAGCTTAATTAAATATGAATTAGTTTTCCTCACCTACATTCGTCTATATAACTTCCTTGGTCATTTACCCAAACCTGTTCCTAACTGTACATGTTGCTTACTCCCTGTGTCAAACAACTTCTTCCTATGTCATGTACTATTTGAACATTAGGGTTTTTAGTCAATAAGACTCTTTGGTCACTTAAATTAATGAAACTGCAAACTTGGCCAGAATGTTGCATTAATTTCCTGTTTTAGGTATACAAAGGTGCTTTTCTTTGAGTTTTAACAACTTAAAAATCTACTCACTTTCATCTGGCTCTTTATTTGGACAGTCTCTGGCAAAATGACCCTCTTCACCACAATTGTGACATCCTCTTCCCCCTCCTCCACCACCACTTCCCTTCTTTGGGTAGTCCCTAGCAAAATGCCCCTCTTCCCCACAGCTTCGAGATCCACTACTGCTACTAAATCCACCCCCTCTTCCACCACCATCTTCACCATCGTCACCTCCTGAAAATCCACCCCCTCCTTCTCTAAAGCCACCACGCTTCTTTGCACCAAAGCCTCCTCCATTTTCTTGAGGTTCATCATTAGTCCCATTACCAAAGCCACCTCCACTGCGGCCAAATCCTCCGCTTCTGTTACCAAATCCCCCTCCGCTGCTACCAACACCACGTGCTGCCGGCCTCTCACTGTCGCTGCTTCCACCAAATCCACCGCCACCTCGGCCAAAGCCTCTACCCCCACCAAAAGCACTTTGACTCCCGCTGTCGAAGCCATTCGTTGTTGCACTGTCAGTATTTGTAGAGCCAAAACCTCCTCTCCCGAAGCCCTTTCGTCTTGGAGCTTCATCGATCGAATTGTCATTACTACTCCATGTACCGAGGCCTCTACCTTTGCTTGCCCCAAATCCACCGCTAAATGAAGTCTACACGATAAAAATAACAAGTCTCATCACATGCCAGAATCTAGAAAGATAAAAGAGACACGTCGTCCAACTTACTGTTGTGGAGCTGCCATCTTCCCAATCGTCAGCCATGTTGACCACGATGATTCAAAACCAGAAGTCGAATTCCTGTAATGCAAAGGCTTCTATTCTAAATGAAACGCTTCTATAAATTAAGAGACGTTTGTAAACTGCCAAAAACTAAGTTTCGCTGCTCCCTCAACCATAAAATGCGGCCACTGTGGACAGATCGAAACTTATAATGAAATGACAAATATGCCAAATCTCGGGGTTGAGCACATGTCTATGTATTCAACAATGATTGGCTGATTCATTTTCTACCGCGGCCAATTTATGATCACGTGGTAAGGTGCGATGTTAATGTTAGGCGATGTCAGGCATTTCCGAAGTAGATTTCGGCGGAAAAAAAAAAAAAAACAGCGACTATCCCTGGAGTGTGAAAACTTTCAAGTTACGTTTTTCACTGAAAAAGGAAAAATAAACCTATAACTTCAGCCGAACCACGGAGCAGAATACAAAATAAGTGATTAGAAGTTAGAGATTGTAACATCTCGGCAGAGTTAATAGATTCTTTTATCCCCCCTTGAGAGACAAGAGATAACGCCACAAATAAACTTCTTATAATTATCTATTGTTTTCTCTTCTGTGATATCGACGTAATCGATTTCGCCAGTGAAGTGCGAAACCGCAAAACATATTTGACGTCATGTCTTTGAAGCGAAGAACTGGAGTTGATTTGCAACTGATTACATATATGGTAAGGGCTCAAAGGCGCAAATCGATATGTTTCCAGGTGGTTCCTAAACGTAAACATCCAAGATGGCGGGTTCAGCAGGAAGCTTAGGCTCTGGTTTATTAAGTATACAGAGCGCTGCTCGACAGAAATCAAGAGAAGCAAAAGAATCTAGTGACAGCGATGATGATGAGCTCTTTGACAGCGAGAAGCTGAAGACAAAATTAATGTCTATGTGGAATAACATGAGACATGGTCAGTAAATTTTTTATTAAATTACGATTTTTAAATTTTTACTCCTTCGTTAAAATGATACAGCTATTGTACCATCGTAGATCTGTGGGTACACGTATTGACTAATCAGACGATTAGATGAACTTTGCTCATCGTTCTTATCAAACGTTTTACTTTTCTCACTCAAAGCAATGAGATCTGTGATAGTAGTAATTTAGACGAGCTTGAATCAGAATTAAAAACATCATTCGCATATAATATTGAGTAATATCGTTCGTATTGTATGCCAACATGATTGCAGACTATTTTGATTTGTACTGCCTTTTGCTTAAGAAATGTGATTATGCAGGTAGAACAAAGGAAAAAGAAATTGAACTACACTGTTCTTTAAAATTATTTTGACCGGAAATTCGTTCTAAACTGTCACACGTACAATCAGCTAAGCATACATACACGGAGAGGTTCATTCGAAAATTGTAATTGTTTTTTCTCCTGTTGTACAGTGATGGAATTGTAAGGGAAAGTGTGATTTCTGCTGTATGTTTTGTGTTTTGGACGCCTCCCAGTTAACTCAATGGATAGAGCGCTGGACTGTTGTGCGGGAGGTCGAGGGTTCAAGCCCCACCAGGACCAACACTCAGGGTCTTAAAATAATTGAGAAGAATATGCTACTTTTCAATAACATCAAGAAATGGTTAGATATTCTAGTCCTCTCGGATAGGGACGAATAAATAGAGGTCCCGTCTCTTGCAGGGTTAGGCGCAGGAGACATTAATTTCCCATGAACTAGATTACTGTGCGATGGATGTCCTCCCCTGAGGTGGGATGGGTGGCTTTCCACATTTGCATTAAACGAGCTATCGTTCATATGTGATATGTGGTTAAATAAAATTACTTACTTGCTTACTTACTTAAATCACAATCAGATATGAAAATCCTGTGTCATTCTCTGTTGTTAAAGAATGCTTTGGCAAAGGTTCAAGTTTTACATGTTTTATTACCATGGCACCAGTGATGTGGTTTGACAACTGAAAATATATTTTATGTTTGCAAATGCTTGTTTGAACACTCCATGATTTTGAAAAATTTCCACTGATCTTTAATGTTTGTTTTCATTCTTTGGTTAACAGCTTTCCAAAAAAAGAGTTAAAAACCCCTTGCATATTTTTGATATAAAATTTGTACTTAAGACATAAAACTGTAAAAGCGAACGATAAAATCCGACGTTTTGGAGTAGTCACTACTCCATTATCAAGGAAAATATAAAAGATCGTACAAATTGCAACGTATAAAGCGTTTTTGGCGCGAAGAATTAACATAAGAGGGTGCGAAGATTTGTTCTCTGGCTACGAATCTTGGGGATAATTTGTGCTTGCAAATATAGGTCTTAAACCTCCCAAGACCTGATTGTTAATTCTCCTCTTTGGCTGTTACACATTTCCTAATAATTAGTTGCAGGAATTTGGCATTTGATCAAGTTAACAACTTCAACCTGACGAGTTTGAGTATTCTTATTCCCTGTTTGCTGGATAATGTATGGATATTTCTTTATAGGGAGAAGTTACATTTCAATCACTTCTGGGAGTTAATAGGTTAAATAGCCACCATTTTTTAATGGCTGTCAAATGTTTAGTTTAGTTGTGTCAACTACTACCAGCTCCATACAAACAACTCATTCACGACATTAACATTACAAATGAACCAAACAGAACAACCTAACTTTACCGATGTATCGAAACAGACCAATCATGACCGACTTATGCCACTTGAGTCTTACAGCCAATAACTTCATGGCAAAACTGACCAATCATTTTACGCAAACTGGACTAAGAACATTCTTCTGACAATGACTATTCATTTGACTCTGATGATGACTTCCGCACAGGTTGTTGAAACGTCAGTCACTATCACCGACAACAGTCCTTCTCAGGACTACACTCACCCAGACAATCACACTACACTCTCACATGTTACCCCCAGTTTCAAACGATTTACTGCAAACAATTTTCATTTTATCTTTTTTACAGGGTTTGTTGTGCCTTTCAAAGCACACTTTAATGAGGATTCTCCAATATGGCTTTTAGGAAGATGTTATCATGCTAGAAATCATGGTAAATTTTATGCTTTTCATGGAGAATTTTTGTTAACAAAATAGCCTAATGGATAGCTCTGTAGACTTAAGCTGGAGTATTTTAAAAGTGTTTTTGGAGAAGACACTTGATACTTACAAAACCTATCTGACCCAGAAATTTTTAAAACCCTTGTACCTTCAAGATCTCATTTTTTAGCAATTCTCCTTTCAGTCTGCTCTACAAATATCATAATTTTAGTGTGGAGAATTTGTTAGTGGATCAAATAGTAATACCCCGATTGATGTTTTTCCTTATTCTCATTACTTGTCTGCTTGATATTGCACTAATATTGTAAAGAGAAATTCAGTCTTGTTCACTCATGGTAGTTAAAGCTCTACAATTTCCATGTGCCACAACACACTCATGGAGAGTTTTCTCCTTTAACAGAATTTAGTGGGGTACACTCAACAGAAAAATGTAAAGTTTTAAGCATGGATGAATTTCAAAGAGACTTTCACTCATTGATCTGGCTGACATATCGGCGAGAAATTCCGCAACTTGGCGACTCAATGTTAACCACTGACTGTGGCTGGGGATGCATGTTACGGAGTGGACAAATGATGATTGCAACTGGATTGGTCTATCATTTTCTAAAGAGAGGTATGCAGAAATGGAGCTAAATTTTTAAATCCAGACAAACCTGGACCATGCAGTTGTGATTACATAGGTACTAGGTTTGCATAACCTGTTTACAGGCTATGCAAGTCTGTGTCTTCAAGTGCACGATTTAGCATGGCCAATATTTAGTTGCCCTATTGGGTGATTGAAAAACTTTAGGATGAGAGACAAAGCAATGGGGAAGAGGGATGGGTTTTTTCTGGATTTACTCTGCCTTACCCCTCCCCCTCCCTTTGTCACTTGCCTCAGATCTTCCACCCATCCAATATGGCAACTGAGTACTCGCCACACTGAATCTCAGGCTTGAAAACACAAACTGCCACCTACAAGCAAGCTAGGTTTTGAAACACTCATTGAAATTTGCTCTCAATCGTGTTCACCTTTATAGAGTTTAGGACAACTGGAAGGTGTATGAGTAGGGAACAAGAACACTTCTACAAAACAGTGAGTAATGATTGACTAGCTAGCTGCTTCTTTTTGTTGTCTCTTGCCATCTGAGGCATTACCTTGTAAAAGCTTGATTCAGTAATGTTTCCTTTATCCTTTCATTTCCAAGATCTCATTAGTACCTCTCCTTATTGTCGGCCATACATTTTTCATGATGTCAGTTTGGAGAATTTGGTATTGGATCAACCAATAATCCCCTAATTGATATTTTTCTTTATTCTCATCACTTGTCTACTTGGTGTAACATTGATCTTGTAAGGAGAAATTCTGTTTTGGTCACTCATGGGAGTAAATAGATTTAGGAGAAATCACATACTGGCTGCTGCTCTTCACTCCTAGAGGTTAATGCGTTTGAGCAAATACCTCTCCTGCAGGCTAGTGAGGTCTATGTTCATAAATATTCATTTAAAAAAAACCTCACTATTCCTGTAGATTCTTCGGTTTTTTGGAGATTTAGAAGATGAAGAACGATGCCCGTTCTCTTTGCATCGCCTTGTCTCGATTGGTGCGCACACTGGAAAGCAAGCGGGGGACTGGTACGGACCTGCTTCAGTGGCGCATATTCTCAGGTACGATTTGAGACCAATTCAGTCATGCACCCAAAGAAGAAACGAATAATAATTTTTCAAACTACCAACTATTATCTCAGAAAATAATTAACCCATGTTTTTGGGAAAGTTAATCACGAGGACTTTTTTGTAAACGAAACATATTTAATTTAATTTTTCAGTTTTCTTGGTTTTTGACAGACTAGCAATGGCTGGAGGAACTCATCCTTTGCTTCACAATGTAAATGTTTATGTGGCTCAAGATTGTACAGGTAAATTATGCGTTTAAAATCGAACCTGTGAAATGGCTGCGGTTATTAAATGTTTTCGACACTATTTTAATAATAGTTCGATTTTTCATCTTTAATTTTGGAGAAATCTTGTGAAAAGTGGCAGATTAGCCGACGATTTGGGCAAGTAACCGACTACCTCGCGGACAGGCCTTCTTGATTTGGGCATCAGCACGAGGGTTGGTTCGCAAGCGAGAAAGTTGAGGCATTTAAGCAACGCGAGCTGACGATAGGTCTGCAAGTGGGTCTGGTACTGATAATGAGGCCTCGTTATTAGTGCCAGACCCCAACAAAGCTTTCTCCCACCCCTCTCCAATATTCCCGCGGGCGGAGACACGCGTGGGATAAGGTCATACTCGTAGCTTAGCTATCGGGTCTTATTTACAACACTGTCTTATATGAAGCATTCATCTTATCGCAGTTTATACAGATGAAGTAGAAAAGCTTTGTACGAGCTGTAGAACCCACACCTGGAACTGTTCCGATGGAAAGTGGCAATCTGTTATTATTTTAGTTCCTGTTCGGCTTGGTGGCGAAGCACTGAATCCCATTTACATACCATGTGTTAAGGTACGGCGTTTTGCAAGTGTCTAACATGGAAAGTCTAGTCCAAGAGAAATATTTAAAGTTTGTTTCCAGCGTAAAGGTTGAGGAAAACAGGGAATGTCTGCATATGAGCCAACAATCTGTAAGGCCACGGCTTGACAGAAGGAAAATATTAGAAAGATTCACCACCCCGTTTACGTGAAACGTGAATGGCATGAGTGACCACGTGAGCTTTTTCCCGCCATTTTTTCGCGTTTACCGGTTGCGCTTTGCGTACCTACGTGAAAGTAACCAGTGTCGTGTTTGCCGTTTACGCAAGATTTTCTTCACTTTTTCTCTGACAGAGTAGAAATTAATAGCCAGGAAAAGGGCGTCTTCGAATCCACCGTGTCGTGAGCTCACGCCAAGCTAAAGCAGCAATGTTCACTCTTTTTTACATAAAACGTTGAAGGGCAAGCCGATGATTGCCTTTTCGTGTAACGCGGTGCTAAATCTCTCTCGGCAACTTTTGGCCTTCGAGCAGGTCCTCATTATCAGCGCTTCGGCGCAAGCGTTCTTCTTCCGCAGGAAAGTACTAAGCCTTGAGAAACACAAGGTAGCGAGAGGTTTACAATCGGTCCAGCACTGACAATTATTAGTGCACTGACAAACCTCTCCGAGACTCGTGTCCAATCTTCCTGCGGGTGGAGAAACCCGTGTCTTGCAGCGGTAATAGCGAGTGCTTGCTTGTAAGCTAGGCAAGTGTCAGAAATGATATGCTGTTTAACACAACTTTTTTGTTTTTCTGCTGACACTCTTTTCCTGTCAGTCTCTTTTTACCTTAGATCATTGTATTGGAATCATAGGTGGACGACCGAAACACTCTCTTTATTTTGTTGGTTTCCAAGGTGAGAGAACCTTTCTTCATAATTTAATCCGAAGTGTCGATGGTCTTTTAGCATGTACCAGGCCTTCAGTTAGTGAAACTATGCGCGGTCGTCACGGATTAGTGAAAAACGAGGGAGGCTTGGGTCTGGTTGTGTCTCAGACCTCCCTCGTTTTTCGCTCAACTGCTATACCACCGCCCCCTTAACTATTCCGCGTGGAACTGGTTGCCCTCATCGACCTTTGATCCTTCCCTACCCCTTCTTGCATTAATATTCCTGCTATTTTAAATCTTTTACCCTCTTATCATCAGATAATCGAAGCTCACTTGAAATTATTTCTGCAGATAATAAAATGGTTTGTTTAGACCCTCATTATTGTCAAGCGGCTGTAGACATGTCTAAGGATGACTTTCCAACGCAGGTAAATATGAAAAAAAGCAGGTGAAAAAAAGCACTCACTAAGGATTTATGCAGTTGGAGAGGGTATTACATCTTTTGTAACAAAACGGTTTTAAGATTGGGTAACTTCTTCATTCCTCTAACCGAGGAAAATTTATGTAGAAGGTCTACAATTAGTTTACTTTTCAAAGCATACAAACGCGGGTCTTTGTAGAGACACAACCCCAAAAACAACATGGTCGTGAAGAAACACACGCGTGACTGCTAGTGTGAAAAGAATGCGCGCGTGAGGAAAAAAGCTTATTACGCAATGCACTAAAAGGATCGTGCACTCGAAATGTGAACGTGAACGACATGAAAGACGCGAAAAGGTGGTGCGCGTGAAGAGACGAAGGGGTAACGATATTCGCGCGTGGAAGCTTTTTTTGTCATAAGTCATAACTTTTTGTCGTGTTCATCAACTCATTAGATAATTTTTCCGTTTACATTTTTTTCGATCAGCCTTGCTCTCAATTGTTTTTTTTGTTTTTGTTTTTTTTTTTTATTGGTATGTTATTCTGCTTTCAGTCATTTCACAGTGTTCAGCCACGCACAATGTCGTTCAAAAAAATGGACCCCTCGTGTACGATAGGTTTTTATTGTGATACCAAAGCTGACTTTGAAAGATTTCGACAACAGACCACAGAGGTGAGTATACTGTACTGAGCAATTTTCAGTCGAGTGTCGAAAGTAATCCGATATTGCATTGGTTTTGCTTTACTTTGCGCTGTGATTGGTGCAAAAACTCACGCCACTCTATCAACCAATCAGATGCAAAACTAACACCGAGTTCGACTTGGTCGTCCGCGTTTTCCCACGCTCTAGGCAGTTTGCTTTGTTCTGTGATTGGTCCAGAAAACTCGCGCCACTCTATGAACCAATCAGTTGCAAAACTAACACCAGTTACGACTCGGTTGCCCGCGTTTTCCCGCGCTTTCGGCAGTTTTGTTGTTTTTACTTTGTGCTCTCATTGGTTCTATTTTCCTTTCGTCTGACTGGCCATTGTTACTCCTTTGGTTTTACGTCACGCCATCGAAAAGCGCTCTATTCAATGCGTTTGTGTCTTGTAAGACTTAAAAAGGTTTCGGTCCCAATCCTCTTAAAACTGATTTTAGTTAAGGTGTTTTTCTGAAGCTTTATATATTTATCTTTTTTTTTTTTTTTTTTTCAGGTTTTACGGCCTCCAATGCAGCGCGGTGATTATCCCATGTTCATCTTCGCGTCTCATCGGAAACCGATGGCGTCCGAAGATTTTGTGCGCAGCGCGAACTTATCCGAGAGCCTTATAGAGAGCGCGGAACCAGAAAGATCGAATAACAGTGTCCCAAGTCCATCGACGTTAAGCTGTAGTCCTTCAGCTGAAGAGTATGTCGTTCTTTGACAATTTCTAATATTCAGTATAGTCTGAGTAAATCTGCCAATCTTTGCCACAGTCAGCCCACTTCCTTTCCTACTCACCGACCACCCCTGACCCTTGGCTCGCTGTCCAAAAAATGAACCGAGTAACAGTCTTTTCAAAGTAAAAAGTTGTGAATAGTAAGATATCTCCCTTACTTATCATAAATGGGCCACCGTTAATGACAAATTAACCAGTCTAAGAAATTTCCTAGGCTTAATTAACCCTTTCAATCTTAGGAGGGATCAACAAAGAAATTCTCCTCGGAATAGTCCCTTTTACAGTTGTGGGCTTGGTGGCCAAGCCTTTGAACAGG